GGAAAGATTTAATTTAAAAAATTTCATTGGCATATGTAAAATAAAATAAAATAATATTAATGTTACTTTACAAAAAAATTCTCTGTATTTGAGGGCAAATATTAAAAAAATATAATTTTATATAAAATAATATTAATTGTAATAATAATTTGATACCAAAGTAAGTTTTCTTATTATTTTCTATTATGCATGCTTTTAATAACAAAAGAAAAACTAATGATCTAAGTAACTCAGTCGTTATTTTTTTTATTGAAAATAAGAGATCTTGAATTTGACTTATATGGCATACAAGTAAAATGGGATAAGTGATGAGAGATGGTTGGTTCTTATTGTACAACTAAGATAAAAATAATAATAATAACAAAAAAAAATCAAGTCCAAATGGGAGCATAGTAAAGTTCAATGATTATTGTATGAGTTAATGATCTATTTAAATATAAGTTTTATATTTTTTATATAAAATTTTAATAATTTATTTTATAAATTATAAGATTTATTATGATTTTTTTTTTAAAAAAGTCTAATGTGCCTAATAACAACATTATTTTCTTTTCTTCTTCTTCTTCTTCTTCTTTTTTAATACTGGTTGACATTATTTTCTTAAATATCTCAAATAAGGCATATGCTTGGGGTGTGTAAAGCATCGCTGTTAGTGGTTTTTTTTTTCTTTCTTTTTTGTTCAAACGATTGGCTGATCAAAAAGAAAAAACAAAACAAACGATTGAAATTCCATCGACATGAGAGGCAAAAAAATCCATTCCCATATATGTATATACATGAAACCTGCATACAACCTGCAAGAGTTTCAAAAAAAAAAAAAAAAAAAAAAAAAAAACCTATACGGATAATTATTGAAGCATGTACCAGTAAAAATCAAAACTTTAGGCGTGTTAACTGCTGATGAAAAAAATGATCTTCCCTTGCATGAAAAAAAAAAATTCGTGATAAATTCTGCTGGATATATTGAATTTCCACACTCTATATTGGAGATAATTTAAATTTTGAAATATATTGAGAGGAGTTTGGGAATGAAAAGACTATAAAAAATTGTGGAGCCATCATTTACCAAATTCATGATTTCCCTTGAAATCAAACTAAGGATTATTAATAAAATATGAGGTTGTGAAAAATCAAAACATTATAAGAATTAAAATATCATGATTGAGAATGAAAAGATTTTAATACTTTGATCAAAACTCAAAAAAAAAAAAAAATTAAAGTACTTAAATAGTTTAATAAATAATTTAATATTTAAAATATTAAAATGTCTTAATTTTTATTTTTTTAAGTAAAATATACTACAATACTCTAACTTATAAGCATGAATATCATGTTTTTGAATTTTTGTATTACTAAATATGCTTTTTCTCTTCTAAACAAGTACGATTTTGGGGGAAGAGAAAGGGGTTGAACCCAACTCATAGAGCTGAGCAATGCATCTATACACTAAGTAGTTTGTTAGGCTAAGTGCCTTATTACTAAATATATTAACTTCTAAAAATACCAAAAAAGATATAGGATTATAGACAATAGAAATTCCTACCTCTATATGATTTTCCCTAATATAAAATACCATAGAATCCTAATATTCAACAGTGATTTAGAAAGAAAGAACTCAATAAAGAAAAACTTACCATACACGTTTCAACCAAAAACCCTCAAACATGATCATCACTGGCACTGCTATCTTCTCCCATTGCGATCGTCGCCAGTACCGCTGTTTTCTCCTCCTCCTGAAACCCTAACCAGAGCAAGACCAAGTTCCTCCTCCACGTTCCTAAACGCCCACACCTGAATAACGTCTCCTGCCTCAAGACCATTCCTCTTCCTAACTTCATTCCATTTATTGATCATTGCATACATTGAGCTTGTCTTCCCCTTTTTCTTCTTCATATTCCACCTCCTCAACACCATCTCCGACTCCTTAACCGATGGCTCAATAAACATATTCACCTTCAAACCATGACGTGCATTAGCCCGTATCTTCTCATGGATTTCCAAGAAATTATTCTTTAACTGTCCAAACGGCATTGATAACCTTGATTGATCCTTAGCTGCGTCAGTTGAAGTCAAGCTCTTCTGAATCAGAAAAACCGCCTCCTTGGGACAGTTCAGTTCCTTGATCTTGTCTCGAAATTCCTGGGGAAGATCAGGGCAGTATTTCTCTGAAACATCAATGCCCCTTTTCTTGGATTTCTCCTTTTGAGAGACAAAACAGTACTTTTCTTCGTCTTCTGCTTTTCTATTCTTTATATTGAATTTAAGAGTTGGGTCGAGGGTAGGCACCATCATTGGCTTTTTCAAAAGCTTTTCCGAGATCAACTTTCTCTTCTTCAAGAAATACTTTTCCTGATCACCATCGTCGTCAACGTCGACATCGTCGTGGTCGTCATGATTCTTTGCTTCTTCATACTTGTCCAATGCCACCATGATGACAGATTCCAGATATTTCATACGAGGCCAAGAAGGGTTAGTCTTGAAGTTTCTCTGGTGGATATCGTCAATGGTGATATCCGGAATCTCTACCGTCTTCTTCTTCTTCTTTCGTTTCTCATTAGAGAAACAAACCATGGCGTAAGCAATTAAGGCAACGAGCAAAAAATGGAAAATATTTAGGGTTTAGAGTTCTGTTACAGGACTACTACTACAACCGTATAAATATATGATGATATCAACGTAATCCTAATTTAATTAGGATATGGAGTTGCGTTTTAATTTGATTCTTTCCCTTAGTTTTGTATCAATCACGGACTTCTTTTTTTTTTTTTTTTTTTGAAATAATCAATAATTCAGATTTCGCTTGTTTGTAGAATTTAGAACCAATTAAAGTTACTATAGGTAAAAAAAAAAAAAAAAAAAAAGGAAAAATCGAAGTTACCATCTTCAGATAGCTTAAGAAGAGAATGATAATTTTTGTTTGGAATATGGAAATTATGTAGAGTACATTTTATTTAATTAAGCAATTAGATTCTATTCAAATAGATTCAAGTATGTTGACTCTATTTTAATCTCTATTAAAAGTTTATTAATAATTCGAAGCGTTGAGTTATTAATAAATAAATGTTATATTGTAAAGTTGGTTTAAAGTTCAACCCTTAATCTTAATATTTAAAAAAAAATTATTTTTTTATATGAACTAAACTAATAAAAAAATATTATTAAAATTACTCAAAAAAAATTAATCCTAAAATGCATAAAAACCATCTCAAAAGTAATTTGACCATAAATATATTAAAAAAAGAGAATTCACCAGTACAAGCTCATCTAATTTTAGTCAACTTTTAGATATTACTTTTATTTTATAGCATATGGACTTATAATTATTATTAGTTTTTTTACTTTATAAGTAACTCTATTTGAAAAGTTGAAGAGTTTTATTTGACAAAAAAATTTCAATTGGAAATTACTTCTTGCTATATAAATTAGAGGCGTGGGCATGACCACTTTCGTTTGTGCTGCCAAAATTGGTTAAAAAAATTAATTTTATTTAATTTGATTGATAAAAATAATTAATAATTGATAGAAGAAATGATATTTATTACTTCATAAATTAAAATTAATTTATAAATTAGCATTTTCATATCTCACGGCTGTGTTTGGAGCAAATTACAAATATTAATAAAATTAAATATAATTTTAATGATCTTTAACAAAAAGAAATTAGTCACCATAACGACATTTCTAAAATAGACGGAGGTAGAAATAAGTATTCCATAGCTTTTTGATAAGCAGGTATAGAAACATTGCTATACAAAGATTTTCATTATATACACCATGAAAAAAAAGTTGCATTTACCTTTGAAGATGAAGCATTGCCATCACAAATATTTATTTTGGCAGGGAAAAAAGAGGGGCCAAGGAAACTGTGCTCTACAAATTATACACAAATACCTAGAGCTCAACTGGCGAATCTAGGTAATTTTATTGAGTATATATCATGTTGGAAAAGAGAAAACAGAGAGAAGGAAATGAAAAAAGAAGATACATTTTTCCTTTCTGGCAAAAACTAGAAAATTTGGTATAATGATGACTGTGAGATTCCTCTGCACATACAGGGGATTGGGTTAGTGATCCTTGCGGAGAAACAATGGCTATGCTGTGTTATCCTAATTCATGAATTTCCGGCAATTTGGAGCTTTACATAGACATGGGACTTTGAACTCCTCTGGTTCATCTGGATCAAACAAGTAATCATACCTGCAAAATGAGAGAGTTTATCAAGATTGTAACTTGGAAACTCAACAACACACATCCATGGACGGATTAAGAAAGAGAACGGTACGTTAGCTCATCTCCTGCAGAGACGTTGGTCTTAGCTATAAGAACAATCCGACTCTCATCATCACCCACACTCATAATTCTTGCATAGCAATTGGGTGCACACTGCAAAAAACACGAATTAAGGAATCAACACTACAAAAATGGTCTTTCACTGCAGGTCCAACTTGGTTTATCACCTCTTTTCTCCTTGCCAATTGGCTACTGAATAAGCAGAGCCATATCACACAATAAAGAAAATGCTACCATTATTCAGTACATAACCGTGACAACATGTGGTACAGGGCATTTGGTATGATGCAGAAAAAAGCTGTTAATGAAGGATTTGAATTCAAAAGTGTTTGAAAATTCTGACTTACAGAATGGTTGATTAGGCGTGCTATGTTCCCTTTGTCTGTGGCATCCACCACAACTTCCTCACTGATCTTAAACAACTGTAAAATATAGTAGTTTACAATTAGTCTATCAAAATTTACAAGCATTATCAAAATATCTGGCAAATATTTTTCAACACCATCAAAAATTTTGCTCAGCTTAATATTAACACCATCATAAACCATATGGTTAAAGGAAACCTCAACTCACATAGCAGTCTTTTCCTTCTTGCCTATAACGTGCCTCTCTTAGATCAGCAACACTACCCCGCACCTGTTCCCCACGGTATTCAAGAACCTAGGGACAAACACAAGCATGGAAAAGCTGTACATTAGCCACAAGGAAGTGCAGATGCTAAATTCAAATTGTTTAAAAGGACACATTTTTCACGCATCTAATAGGGCAAAACTATATAACTGGAAAATAACAAGGTTCTCAAAGTCCTTTAAAGTTAGTTGCAAGGAAGTCAAGAGGTGCTAAATTTAAATTGTTTAAAAAGACATTTTTTTCATGTATCTAATAGGGCACAATAATATTCCTGGAAAATAACAAGGCTCTCAAAGTCCATTAAAGGAAAATGCACATTTTTGTTCCTAAAGCATTTCACATGACAATTTCAAACAAGCAGGATATTACATATAGATTAAAAAATAATGTTATATTAATTACAATCAATATCTATTCCTTCTAATTCTACAACAGAGAGAGACTTTTCTTTTCTACCATCAGGACAGTACATAGTTTCAAACAGACCAAAACTACATGTATCTTAAAAAAATTAGATTGTTAACCTTGAGTAACTATTGTAAACTAGTTAAAAGTTATCTCATTAATACCATTTCTCCTTCCTGAATGTTTCTACGGGCAAAGAGACCCCACCCATGTATTCCAGATCTACCAAAGCAAACTCGATCATGCTCAGTTCTCTGGAGTCATCATGCATACCGAGAAGGTAGTTAGATAGATCATCTAGAAATAATAATAAGGTCTGAAGAAAAAAGGACAGAGATTTTGCCTGTAAGTGGTGAAGCCGTTCCCTAAAGGATGAAAAACTTTGGGGCTCTTCAACCACCTGTCAAAAGTGGAAGTTAAAATCATGCATGAAAAAAGAACAAAACAAACTCATAATTTGTAGAAAGGGAAAGAAATTTACTCTGAATACATTCAGACTCTGTATTGTGCTTAAAGGATGATGGCAAGGTCTCATCACTCGATGGGCAATTGCTTCCTCCCGCACTCTCTATTAACAGGGAAAGCTAACACTGATGTTAAGAAAATAGAAACCAAAGGAAGGAATTTACTAACTGCCTTTTGGTGCTTTTGTCAAGGACACATAAAGTAACATCGAAGAAAAGAAATGCCTTAAAAAATAAACAAAGTCTGGTTGTTCTTCTATTGTATTTTATTCTTTCACAGCCAAATATATTCCTAGAAAATTGTTTATGAACAACTAATATCATCCCAACAGAACAAAGCAGAAAAGGAGGAAGAGTTTGGGAAGAGACCATTTGGCCAAAACTAGCACAACTACATGGCTGGAGAGATGTTTGAGTGATGATAATTCTGGAAGTTGGTGAGTATCAACATATGCAGTTACCTTTCTATTATCTTTTGATCTTTTGAAAATTCGGCACCTTGCTGCAGAAAATGGCTCCGATTCTGTAGTTTCTACTGCTAGAACCTCTTCAATTTTGATTCCATTAGATGAAATAAGCCTTGAACCAGTCCTCCTTTTATTTTGAAGGAGGCTTTTGGCAGAGAAGACACCTAAAGGTGTCTGTATAATTAAAACTGTATCTGGATTTGGAGCCCTGCACAACATTAAAACCACAAGGAGAAAAACAAGAACTAGGGTTAGCACAGGAATGATTTCTTGCGAAAGGAGAAAATCATCAGACAGGTTTAAAGCATACCTGTGATAAGCACAATATGAGATCATCTTTGTTATTTGTCTACCATTCTTCTCCAAGCAGTGCAACTGCAATTGAAACCACAAAAATTAGTTCAATCTAACTGCTAGAGGACACAGGATCTACATTTTCATTTTACCTCTTTTAACACGAACTTCAACATATTAATATGCTGCTTTGGAAGTCTTCATACATGCTTATCTCAGATAGGATTTCCCAATGTTTTACCATTTCTCTAGGATTAACATTATGCCATTCCGATCTCAACAAGGATGTTGACAAAGGTGCAAGTCTATCAATCAGTGAGGTATAAAAAAATGGTTGTTTTATTTTTTTTTAGGAAAATATGGGTAGTTTTACATTCTCCTTGGGACCCTATGCCACTGGAATAGCCGAATAGACTTTCTTCAGTTGTTCTGGGGAATTTAGATCTCAATTTTATAAGATGAATACCAGTCACACATAAATACTGGTCATTAAAGAAAACCCAAATTCATTAATTCTGCAGCCTCAAGAAAACATGGACAAAATTTTATCTTGAATTTCGATTATGATCTTTTCTCCTATAAAAGAAACCCTATACCATATTTTATCAGAGTTGTTAGTAGCTATTCCCTCTATCCCATAAGAACTGTCGTTTTTTGACTTTTTCTCCAAATTAAGGATTCGGAGATCATTTATGTGTTTACCTATATTACCCTTAGGAAAAAGCTAAAAAGATAAAGTAAGATTTTTGTGATAGGATAATTAATCAAAATAAATAAATAATAATAGGGTTAAAGTACGGAAAAAAATATTTGACTACCTTAAAAAATGAAAAAACAACAATTAATTGGGGACAAACTCAAAGTTAAAAAAAGTATAATTATTTTGGGACAGAGGGAGTGACACCAATAACTAGAAATAGGGCCCACAAGATAGGATGCATTCATGTTGCATTTCTCAAGTACAACCACACACCCAAGACTCTTAACAATAAATCATGTTCAGTGGGGTAAAATGTTTTATTGCATGGAAAATTTGAAAATTCATAACATAGCCAGTTGAATAACATACTTGTAGGAAACTGAAAAGAATTTGATAGTAAACACCAAATAGGAAGGTTGTATCCTATATTAATTAAATGGGTGCCCAAGCAAACAGATAGAAAAGTCAGTCAAAAGACTCACCTCCATGCGGTATCCAGCCCTTGAGGCGCACATTGCATGGAAATATGTAGAACACTTGCAACATTGTGTGCAAGAACCATGAATTTGCTTGCAAATAACACATATCTGAAATTCATTTAAACAAGGAAGGCTTGGATTACTTATGTTCGTATAACAAACAAGGATAGATGTACACGCTGACAAACTAAATGAACTCCACTGCTATGTCAAAGTTAACTCTTAAACAAATTATTTTAATAAAAAGTTAGGATATAATTTTAAGACTTTCCTGATAACAGGACTACAAGTTGGAGAAGTTACAAAGAAATGATAACTCCAACAGATAGTCTACCTTCACAAAAGAATTTGATGGAATACTCAAGATTCCAAGAGCAGGCTCCATCTTCTCATCACTTGCAAAAGAAACTTCAGGTTGAAACCAAGCGCATGTGACATGAACCCACAATGTCTCAACATCGGTTGGCTTCAAGGCACCACCTGAAGTGGGGAAGAAAAACCACATGTAATGACAGTAAACAAAAGCAGTGAAATCAAAGATAAAGAAAGTAGCTTTGAGTTTATGCCATGTACAAAAGATCCACAGAAAGGAACAGCCGAAAGACAATCTTTCAGAAGTTATAAAAGCATCTTTGAGATATAGGAAACTTGAAATCATGAAAATAATCTGGCTGTTAAAAATTCAAATGAAGCATTTGCATTAATAACTGGCTCAACAAAAAATGAACAAGGAAGATAATCTAGAGTGCTTGCCTTTTACAGGACAAAGACAACACTCCTGTGTGACATCAGGTTTTTCACAAGCTTTGCAAACCCAAGAAGTGAAATCTCGAACATTTCTCACCCCATAGCATTCTTGATGTACAGCAATTTGACATCTGATAAAAAATAAAAAGGAAATCAGAGTGAAGACCAATATAATAGTGAAATCCCTTCCAACAAGGAGGCTTCACTTTGCCTGGTATATATGGGAATAGAACATCTAAAAAAGGTTATTTAATGCTCAAATGCCATCATCAGACTGCACCAAAAGTGACACTGAGAAATAATCAAGAATGTAAGCATGTGTTACACATCAGGCCAACACGCACAGCAATAAATGAGGACCCAATGTATTTAAGGTAACATGAATTACCTTAAACACACAACTATTCTAGGCAGAGGCTAACAGTCAGTAGTAAGGTCAATAAAACAAAAAACAAAAGGACCTAATCAGAGGCTTTTCACATGATTTATTAGGTGGATCAGATGATTGGATTTAAGTTTACCACTATGTATCCATACAAAAGGTCAACTGAATTCAAGTTACCTGTTGCAGATAATAATTTTGTTGTAATCCCAATCTTCAACCCATCTGCATACAGCACATCGTTCAGTTGTCCACTTAGCATAAACTGGTTCATATTTTTCTGTCATGCAAATATAACAATCAGAGTAACCAAAATAATGCAGCACAATAGGATACTCTGCAATTGCAAGGTTGATGTCTTTAAAAAAAAAGTATACCCTGCAAAAATGCTAGCAGCTTCTGTTTTCTCTCTTTTATAGAAGGTCGTTTAGGTGGTTTGACAGAAGCAGTGGCATTTGCATGGTACTCTGCTAATTGCAGCATCTACAAACTCAAACAAAAACCTATCAAAAATTGAATCCACAGGAGGTTATACAACAAACTGAAAACTGAAAAAACAATCATCCCAATCTATATCAAACTTCAAATTCTACAAAAAACCAAAATTTATCCCAAAAATAAAAGGAACTGCACGTGCAGATAACCACAAACAACAGAGTCAGAGAATAACAACATAGTAACAAAGGTTTGCAGAGAAGAAACATACTACAGGACAAAAGAAAACCCTCAAATGGGCATAATTTTAGGAAGTACTGACAAGAAAAAACTTGCATCAGCATATTAACATCTTTTTGCTTTAATTTTCACCAACTACAGATTCTTATTTTTGGTAATAATAATAATAATTCTATTGAAAGCAATGTCTTTAAATGATATAAATTCTGTCAATAAAAGAAATGTGAAACCAAATTTATTGATAGTAGTGCCAACATAAAGGCAGTAGCTCAGGAGGGGGGGAGAGGGGTGTTTTGGATGATATATAAAATCCTTATATAATGAGACTAGATTTCATCTATTAAGGAGTTTATTTTTCAAAACAGTAAATATTCAACAACCAAACTAAAAAGAGAGGTAAATGGCACGCAAAAAATGAAGTAAAAAGAGAGATAGGATGTTATACAAACCCATTGTTCTAGTGGTAGCATGGAATCTTTCACCTTCACACTAATCTTCCAATTTCTTTCCCTGGAACCAGTATGCCGTTCCCACTCACTCAGTGCTAGCTTTCCTGTCCCACAGGATCCACACTTGCACACAACTCTGAGGCAAGAAAATGTATATGAATAAATTAACAGAAAGAACTCTCAGGTACAAAAAAAGAAAAAGGAAGAAAAAAGAAAAAGAAAAAGAAAAAGAAAAAAACCAACAACAACAACAACAGAAAAGCTAAATTCCTTATCCCCAGAAGAGCATGTTAAGGGATTAAATTAGACCATAAAGCCTGCTTTCAAAAAGTCTTGTACCCAGACTATTGCCCAAAGAAACAAAATATGAACTTATCTCATCTTGGTTTGCCAAAAAAATTGCAGGCAACAGAGGTTGTATGATTATTGTTAAAAAGTGTAAAGTAATTAATTAAGGAATGGATTAGTACGTGCTCACATAACTCTATAGACATTCAAATTGCTAAGATAGCTGCCCATTAGCTATAGGATAATCAGTTTGTACGTACATATCTATTTCATTAATTATTGGAAACTGAAAAAGAAGTTTACGTGAACTCAATCACTGCAGAGAACAGAAGAAAATTTAAAAATTTATCTTTCCTAAATGCAAAATAAAATAAAATAAAATAAAGAAAGAAAAAGAGAGAGAGAGAGAGAGGACAGAAAAAGGACCCATGCATTTAGAAGATCTAAATTTTACTTACGAGTGAAGGCTTGGAAAATATACACCTTCAATGCCCGAGCAAATAACAGTAACCTTGTTAGGAAGTGTTGGTTGACTATTGTTTCTATTTGATCTGCATCAAAGGTTTTACAGCCATTAGTTATGGAGCAGAGAGTAAACAACAGTCAATGTGACCACATAAAATTTTGCTAAATATATAAGTAAAATATCTATATCAACAATAATTATAGTATAAATACTTTTATATTCCCGAAAAGGGGGGAAAAGAAAAAATATTGGTTTGAAATTATAATGTAATTACTTACTTTGCTTTCTGCTGCCCCTTCTCTGAGTCTGATAATTCAAAGTTAAATTTTGCTTTACAAGTAGGACAGTAGTAATCAGTGCCCCCAAGATCCTTCAAAGCAAAAACACATTTGTCAAGGATGTCCAGAGTTTTAATTCTTTACATCATTATGAAAGGTGAATATATAATAAAGAGAGATGGAATTTTGATGGACAGACCTTAAAATGATTGGTTGAGATTTTGTCACACTCAGCATGCACCCAGACTTTACAACCATCACAACGCACCTAATTCAGTTTGGATAACCAGACAAATAGTAATTATAAAAGCTATTGAAATGAAACAGGATAAAGCAAATCACAACTTCAGAACAGATTTGTAGGGTTGCCTCACCCAACTCCCACTATCTGAATTATTCCAAATTTTCTTGCATATTCCACAATAATGCTTTGATTTAGTTAACTGCGAGTAGAGTTTGTGAAAAAGAAATAATTAGAACATATGTAATGGAGATAGAATTAACATAAGTTCCCCAAAAGGCATTGATACAGACCCTAGCACATGTTTTACATAAGAATTGGCCCAAAGGAGCCGATGCTTTCATTTTCTTTGTCATTTTAAAAGGAAGACTGGTACCACAAACTTCACAAGGCCTCAAGTCTTTATACTTCCAATATAAGATCTGCAAAAAGAAACTCAACTTTTTAAACTCAGAAGATTTGAGGAAAAAACTTTTTGCATTTTGAGTTAGGCGTTTAGTCTTTTCAACCCTTGACCATGATTCAAGCTCCATCCAGCAGAACTTGAAAAGTGGAAAAAGATATTTTTAAAACTTTACCGAAAAGTCATTCTCAAGAAGGAAGAATATAATGAACAAGATGCCACTCTTAAATAAACCTGCCTGATTAGGCGAATGATGGTCCTGGTACTGGTTTGAACCAGTAGCCTCCTGAGACCATCTATGAGCAGATTCATCATAAGTTGGATTTCCAGCTGCTATGTTTATATCTTGTATCAACTTCTCTGTAAACCCCTGCTCTGCCAGAAAAGCCTCCTCAATTGCCATCTGGAAACCACTGTGGTTGCAGCTGTCAGTTTCTGGCTGCTCCTGAAACCTATACCAAGCAAAGTCTCCCCTTAGCACATATCAATATGATGATTCAATTATTCCATGGATAAAGCCAACTACTCACCTGTCTGCAAAGTCCATGAACGGAAAAATCATCCCTCTCCTGACCCATGCATAATCCTGCTTGTGATCATTCAAAGTAACATAATCAATCACCAAATCACAAGTTTAATTAAGAACAATTGCAGAAAAAGAAACATGCTCCAAGCAGAAAGCAACAGATACCCTTTGATTCTCTTTCCCAGAGTGGCCAAAGAACATCACACAAGCTGCCTCGGGTATACAAGACCTCAAAACCAGCTCAGGTGCTTGGGTCATTGGATCAATCACAATGGCTGGCCAAAATGGCTCCCTCTTTGCTGGCTTTGCCCATACTATATCCCCTGAATAAAAATCCTCAGGCCCATACAACCCATCTTTCCTCTCACCACTCTCCTTCAGAACCTGCTTCTTGCCCATTAGATGAACAATCTCTACATTTGGATCCTCAACCAATTGCTCGTGTACCGAAGTTAGTGAACTACGTGAAGTTGAATACTTCTTAACGTCAAAACTATAACTATACCCCACTTCTTCATCTTTCTCTCGCAATGTAGCATATTTTCTACCTCTAAATCCGTTCTTCTCCTCATTTCCTCGGTTTTTTATATTTTGTTTACAAATTTTGGGTGTTTTCAAAGTGGGTTTATCCTTTTTACATTCAGTATCATCATCAAAACTATAATCACGCGAGCCAGTTTTACTCTCCTTCTTCCAATTCTCCATAACGGAATCATTAAACCGAGAAGGAAGTACCTGAACTCGACCTCTCGAGGTTCTCACAAGTGGAGGCCGAGCAGCCTCCTTCTTGGCCTTGGCCGAATTAGAGCCCTTGGATTTTGATTCCACTTCACCTGGGGAGCAAGACACTTCAGTACACCATGAGGCAGCGATCCCCTTGGCACCCAGTATACCGTGGAGGTTCACCGGAATTATGCCAGCTGCAACCTCTCCGAGGAGATTGAGAGGATAATACTTGTCGACTTTCCGTTTCTTACGTACTGTCCCCGAGTTATCTTCATCTTCACGCCCTGAACTGCTGAGCTTGCACCGTTTCAAACTCGGCATTTGCGATTTGAGGTTTCGCTTGATTATCATTTCTCCCCTAATCAATCAACAACTCGCAGCTTTACTTAAATTCAATTCTCGATGCTAAAACTCTCCTGAATCACCCATCAAATGCCCAATCACTGAAATACCCATAAACCCTAATTACCATAGAATCGCCAGAAACAGAGGAAAACCACCAAATACACCAAAATAACAGAGACCCTTTTCTTCTTTCGCGGGAAACAAACAGAGGAATTTCGAAGAAGAATAAACCACACAAAGGAACGAACAATTGAACAAACTGAAGAAAATTCGATGGAGAAGACGAGAAGTACAGACGGTCTGGACAGAATGGGGATCTGTTTCAACGGAGCTTTTCTCTCTCCACCAAATGCTTCAGAATCAGAAAGTGCAGAGAAAGAAGGAAAAGATTAAAAATTTAATAAATCCCCATCTCCATTATTATAATTAAAACACGAAGAAGCAAATAAATCGCAGGAAAATACAGTTTTTCCCTGGAAATTTTTGGGAAAAAAAAAGGGTGTTTGGAAGGAAGAGAAAAAGAGACGGGTCGGCGTTATCCGTCCTGTGAAAGCAAAGATAAATATTGTGCGTGCGCATGTGAGTGTTACAATGCGGGTGATGCGCTAACTTGCGCCTCACGCGCTGTGATTGAATTCTCTTCCTCCTCTTTCCTTGGTGATTCCACGACTTCCCTTTTGTATAAATTTTTAATTTTTACATGTCTCATGATGTTTCTGTCTGAAAGTTCGAACAGAGAGCTCTGGTCCCCAATTTGGTTCCAAGAAAGTTGGAATTTTTAGCGTTGATTCTTACATTTTTTTTATTGCTACTGTTGTTCCTACCAAATCGAAGATATTTGAGAAATGGGTGTTCGAATTTCTGTTACATGAGGCAGAAGGGAATTTAGTCTTACTTTTAGTATGATTTTTCATGAATTTTGGCCTGTTTGATCTGATTCTCCTTACATGGTACGACCAAGAGCGTCAATGATGCTTCAGAGCTACAGGGTGGAAGAAAAGCTGTTAAATTGGAAGGTTCAGGAATTGACAGACCATTTTGTTGGATTTGGGCACGTCCGAAAATGTGTGTTTTTATAGATTAAATTGATGTACAAATCAATTGTTGTGGGATTTGGGTTCGGTGTTCATCTGAAGACTGAGAATAGGAGGGCTGGTCTCAGAGATAAGAGGTCAGGTGAAATTGAATTGGATTTTTGATTTCCCACCATTTTGTTGGAGGGTATTTTGGGAAATCTGAATTCTATTTCGATTTTTTTTTTTTATGGGAAATTCTAATTTGTTTTATGAATATAAATGACAAAAACTTTAATAATTGGTAAGGGTTTTTTTCATCGATGTTGTATAATTTGGTACATCGAAATTATAAAACATCAAACTTACAGAATTATTTTTATTGTAGTAATTAATTTTATAAGATGAAACAAATTTACCTGTTAAATTGAAAATAATGGGTAGATGAATCATAAATGGGGTTATGATATGTTTCCAATCTCCATGGATGCATGGACATCCATGGTCGAGGAAGGGGCAGATGAAAACAAGAAGATTTGTTGGTCTACGATTTTTTTTATTTTTTTGGATTTTTTTCTTCTTAATTTTCCCACGCAGCATGGTGGCCGCGCCGCCGCTGCTGATGGGTTCATTTCTTTATATCGATCCTTTCATTGTGTAAAATTTTCCGGATTTATTTTCATTTACAAATTGAAGAAAAAATTTCAACGGGAAGAATGATATAAATAGGATTTTGGCCTTTGGAATAGATGATGGGAGTGCAATAAATGGGTAGTGTTGTTGACGGGATGGGAAGGGTTGGGTTGGGTTTATTTTCATTCTCCTAATTCTACTAATATTATTGTGGTAGAATTTGATTTTTTGTTGATGGGTTTGATATTGATGGAGGTGGTGCATCTAAAAAGGAAGTAAATTTAGAAAGAGGATTGATACACGAATTTAATGATGTTAGATTTTGCTTCTGTTTTGGTAAGGTCATGCTTTCCCTAATCCGAAACATGGATGTTTTCATCTTAATTTGGTAGTCAAAACAAGGTGTAATCCCTGTGAACTTAGTGGATGACGGCGGCGTTGATGTGCAACCCTGAAGAAGGGACCAGAAAGTGGAGGAGTTATTGCCATGATTTCAGGAACAAAGATTGTGCAGGTTAAGCGGACTCGTTGATGTGGAACTCTCAACGTGACCATGTGACGCAAAGGGACTTGAGCTGGTCTGACAACGCATCGGCGGTGAGTGGTGATGGGTATCAGTGAATACTCTTGAAGAAGTGAATGGATTGCCATTTTCCTCTTTATTTATTTATTTATTTATTATTATTATTATTTTGTTGTTTTAGGTCGTCGATCAATGAATTTTCTTGTTCTGCAATGTTCAACTATGAAAGGCCAATCAAATCTCTGCTTTATAAATGCAGAAATTTAGAGCCCTTTTCTGCATTCAATAGTCAATACAACCATGCCAAACTAACTAATCTCTTCTATTGAAGTTACATACTTCCTGTATCAGCGATTCAGCATGTAGCAGTGGAGAATTGAAAAAGTGTAGCCTACTGCAAAACAGTAACAGTTGAATGATGATGGCCTCATCCAATGGCCCTTGGTAATGCGTGCAAATCTTCCATCTACTGATTCATGTTAATGTAGTCTCATAATATCTAGATTGCAAAAGAGGCCTGAGTCATGGGAGAATAATGGTAAAAAATAGTAGTGGTCTTTGATGCAAGCGTAAATCCCACTTTATTTTGAATCTTTCCATGAAATTGTTCAAAAATTGAAGCAGACAATCCTGATTGACATATCACCTAAATGAAGAAAATGACTTCCTTTTTGTTAGTATCTACTTTTATGACTGGTTTGATGTTGGAAGCCACTGCCATTGAGCAGAAGCAAGTGATTAGATCCCCTCAATATGACGGCATTTAAAAATCATTCAATTCAACCCAATTGTACAAATATAAATCATGTAAAATGCATGTTGATGAGACACAAGAAACATCAATCAAAGCCCTGAAAATGCAGGTGTAGACCCGTATGTGGAGATTAGACTGCCATTTCATTATATATATATATATATATATAAGCAAAGGACAAATTTCTGCTTCATTTTATTGAACAAACACTATATACATCCTGCGTTGCCATTTCCATTACAGAGGTGGTTGTTATTACAGCATAAGAGAACTACTTTTGAGTAGCTGGGCTCTTGTTTATTTGAAAATACTGGGTTGAAGCGTACTACTAATCTTCTACATCACCTCTCTGCATCCAGCTACTCGTTTTTCTTGGTATTTAATTAGTTAAGTCATTCCCTCTTGCAAGTATCAGATTCTTCAGTCTTGGCAAACCTTCCACGGATCCTTGGTTGACTGTCTGCAAGAGCCTTCCTGCAAGCATACTGGGAAGAAAAAAAGAAGAAAGAAACACCACAAATAAACATAATTGGCCTTACTCATGCTTTTTATGTTAAAAGCAATGCATATAACCATTTAAGTATTTGGAACTGGTGGGTTGATCACCCCAGAACGTGCTTAATAGGAAAACAGGAAAATGAAACTCTCAGAAAAACAAACATTTATCTTACCTTTATTTTCCTTCCAAAGTTCCTCTTTGTCTTCTTGTTCCTATATCGAGAAAGCTTTTCCCTTCTATCTTCGGTGGAGCAGCTGCCGATGACTAATGGCCGCTCAAGAGAAGGGATGAGGCTCATATTACCATTGCCAAGAGTCTGTCATAAAAACTCAGTATCAATGACTCAGCACCATCAAATGGCCACAAGCATCTAAAGATTTCTTTTACCATGGACTTTGTTATGTAGGCAATAGATGTTTAGTGCTCAACTGCAAATTGATGTGTCACTTGGTTTTGGTTGGCTTGTACAGGAGAACAGAGGGCAGCATAAAAAGAAACACAATTCAAGTTTGTATTTTCATATAAGAATTGAACGACAAAGCAGGTTCTCTGTTGCTTCCTATCATCAGATTGTTAAGAAATAAAAATGGATGTTTCCAGAAGTGGTATGCTAAAAATATTATACTGAATGTCCCAAATTATTAACCAAAACCATCTATCCGTGGCCTATTTTCAGGTTCCAATAAAAAATATATGGCAAAGGAATCCCGAATACTAAGAGTGCCATGGATGGAAAGATGCCTTCTCATTAGAGGGAGTCCAAGGATATATGGAAGTGGCGATAACTTTTCAAAAATATGGTGCGACATCCAGGAAAACCAACATACCAAAATAAGCACAAGCAGGCATGTACCAACAGGCGCACAGCAAACATGCTAGGAGCACAGGCATGTAAGTACCAACAGACACGACACACATGCAGAAGCAAACATATACCCCCCCCAAAAAAAAAAAAAAAATGAAAGAAAAGGAAAACAGTGGAAAAATAATTAAGACTGACCTTTATGTCCCCTTCACTATATGCTCTCCTCATTCCATAAGTAGCATAATCCACTCCAGGGAAATTGAGAAAATTAGAATTCATTGCAGCCCCTTGCATCCATTCCATTGAGCTTAGGCAACTTGAGCTGACACTTTTCTGGAAAGGTACATCAGGAATTACTTTATTTTCTTGATTTTGGCTTCCATCTATCTTCATAACTGGAATCTTGACATCTGGGATCTCAGACGGTGGTATGTCCATTTCTACTGCTGCCATGAGATCCTTCTCGTGCTCATAGAGATCTCTCAAAAACTGCTCATTCTGGATAGATTCAATCTCTGCAGCCTTAAGTCCTTGTGAAGTGAAATCTTCACCACACGAGATAATTGACAAGGCTGCTGTAATGGGATCAAGACCCACAGCTGGTTCTTCAATGATGGGTTCTGGAGCTTTAAATAAGTCCCCTTCTCCTCCCAGATCATATTCAGATATTGTTGGGATCCAGACCAAGTTGCTCTGCAGTAGACAAGAAAAAGTAAATAACGGAAAAGAAATAGTGTGATTTAAATGTCAACAGAAAATTTCCTGAAAGAACCAAAACAGAATGAACTGAAAAATCAGTTCATTTTTTCTTATTCCTACCTTCAAATATGTATCAATGTTAGAGAAAGATCTTAAGTCAGATGAGAAATAGTAGTAAATTTTAGTAAAAGCTTAGCCTAGACAAGGATGTAATTTATAGCTTCAAAATGAATTAATACCTAACACTGTTAATAATGAATCAAAGTTTATAGCTTCAACTAGAGATTGCTATAGACAATGATTAGGGGGAAATGGGAAAAGGAAACAAAACAAGTTCTCGGTGTAGCTTCCTTTTGTGTTCAACCCACTTGCAACCATTAGAAAAGAAGAAAAAAAACAAAAACTACTTGCTAAATGAATTGGTATACCCACAACCCTATCTCACAATAGCCACATAACATTAAAAGACATGTCAATTCACATGTCTCACTGAGTGAAAAGAGCTGATCACAACTACTGCAGGATTGTGAGACAAGATTGCAAGTGAATCATTTTCCCTTGCTAAAAGCTCACATCCTTATTTAAAACTTTCCCAAATAAAAACTACACAACCAAACAACACAAACTGGCAAAAGGGAACAAACAATCTCTTTGGTTTTTACAGGATAATCTTTGTCAAAGAATGTCACCATATTTTATAAGGCTAGATTAAAAGCTACCGTTTTAAAGTATAATCTCATTCCTTCACTTCCTTTTCCAAATTTGGTTTCCAAATCAGAAAGAAAGTGGAACAATAATAAGTTGTAAACAAAAAAACTTCCCTTGATCCCCCAATATTTCTGATCCAAAAACAAAGAATAATCAATAGAATTTTCTTTTTATAATTTTCTTTTTATAAGTGGGCTAAAAAGTGAAAACCCCAATAACCAGTTCACACCCAAAAGTTGAAGAAAATGGAAGAAATCTTGAAGAACACGGAACTTTTGACATGGAAATCTTTTAACAATTATATTCCAACTTTTCTTCTTTCCTTTACTTTTTTCAAGATCCAACATGTAAAGGAAACTTTTATTTATTTATTTATTTTTATTTTTCCATCTATCCCCTGTTTGTTTGTCGAGAAAATGTTGAAGAGAATAAACTAATCAAAAGTCACCCTTTCTATTAGAAACCCAAAATGCATAAAACATAAAACTTCCAAAACACACACTTTCCCGTGTTTTCTAAAGCCACCAAAAAAAGAATTAAAGGCAAAACAAAGAAAAGAAAAATAATCAAATTTATCAAATTTGTCCCAAAATTTGAATATTGGAGAAGAGAAAATCAATCCCCAGTATGGAATCACCACCTAATTTAACTTGAAATCTAATAAAAAACCCAATATTGTCTCCATTTCATTAACTTCATCTTCTGAGTAACCAAACTCATGATCAATTTCAACGAAAAAACAAAGAACAGAGTGAAACAAAGAAAAATTCAGAAACCCCAACTCATCAAACTAGCAATTAGAGCTCAAACTCATCTCAAACCCAAAACGAATCCAAGAAATGCAGATAATCAAACCAAAAACAGAGAAGTTAAGAAGCGAAAAAGAGGGATTGAGAAAGTACCATTAAAACATTGGGTTTCAGCTGCATATCCTGCCCAAAATTCTGCAAATAAGGGAAGAAATGTCCTGTCTCTGCATACATTTCTCCGCCTCAAATTTTCTTGATTCTTTTTCTAGGAAAACAAACAAACGGAGATGTCTTCAGTTTTTATGTGGAGAAGAAGACAGGGTCACCTCCTCACCTCCCAAAACCTGAGCTGAGTAGAGCAGAGTATATCAGTAAAACAGAACAGCCGAAATGCATTTGGAAAGAAAGATGTTTGGCTTGCGGCTTTGACGGGGGGGCACATTATATATATATATATAAATTAAAAAATTATTTTATAATTTAATATAATTAATACGGTAAAACAATAAACTTAAAAAAATAATTAAAAAATTATATTTTACGAGTAATTGAATAAAATTTAATTAAAATAGTTGATGTCATAAAATATGCAATACTTTCTGTAAAAAAAAAATATGAAGCATAAGGCAGCATCCAATTGTACCCATTACAAATACAATGACTTAAGCACATTATAAAATTTGAGAAAAATCAAAGAGAAAATCTGTTAATTTTAGAAAAAAAAAAAAAAAAAAAACCCTGTTAATTTTAGAGAAAATCCATCAATTACACAGGTCAAATCCACAAACAAAAGAGTCTTTACATCTTGGCCCATTAAATTTGTCACGTGATGTCTTATTGTCATAAAATAGGAAACCCTTGTTTCTCAATTTGAAGACCGCACAAATAAGAATCATTAAGGTTTAAGCCTAATTTGACAGTGCTAGATTTTTTTTTTTTTTTAACAGAAACAAAATAAGTTATAATTTTAAAATAAATCAATTTAAAATTATATAAAACTTTATATATTCAAATAAATTCACACAACTAAAATTAATGTAGGATAAAGAACCTCACAATTAGGCTTGCTGGAGTGAGAACATGACAATCAATTATGTCTAGGCAATTTGATAGTGTTTAGATTGTATCTAGAGTGATAGATTTTTAAATTTTTTAATATTTTAAAAATATATAAAATATATTTAATATATTTATTATATATTTTAATTAATTAAATATTATTTATTTTTTAATTATATATTTTTTATTATTTAATAATATAAAATTATCTTATAAATTAATAATTTAAAATATTATAATTAATTTTTAAAAATTATAAATTAATAAAATTAATTAAATCAAATTTAAATTTTATATTATTTGTGTAACATTAATGAAAGCACGCGTGACAATGAACGAACCCTTGCTGGTGTTCCTGTAGACTGTGGATCACCTCAATGTCACCTCAGGAGTTCAAAGCAAAATTGCGTAACCTGTGGGGGATTCCAGAAGAATGGCATTAAGGGCTTCTTTGCTTCCCTATGTCTCAGAGATAATATTAAGAGAATTTGTAGAAAAAACAATTCAGTTTTAATTTTGAAAAGTTAATTTTTAGGCATAAAAATCAATGAAAAAAATAATTGATTATATTTTTTTCGTAATTAATTATAAATGTTTTAAAAGAAATATAATAATTAAAATAAAAAATAATCAATTACAAGCTTCAAAAATTTTTTTTTTGAGATTTTTTATTAAAAAATGTTTATCATACAATATAATTATTTATATTAATTTATAGTTAATTATTATCTAGAAAAGTCCATTTTCCGATTATTATTTCCAGAAAATAAGTAACCACATGGCCATAAAGTTCAGAGTAGATTTTGACAAAAGCCAACTGGGTGATAAAGACTGCGCGATAAAGCTTTCACGTACATTTTTTTGAGTGAGAAACATTGTTTTGTCGATTATGCATTTCTTTTGTCCTCTTGTTGTATGTGAACTTTTGCTTTGCTTTTGCTATTTGCTTCCTTTCTTAAAGTTCTTCCATTTCTTTTTCGGTCCACGGATTCTCTTGTAGCCGATTTTGGTAGCTGTTTT